ATGCTTGCTTTAAGTACCTCTGGGGCCAGGTACTCAGGAGTGCCGCAGAAGGTCTTCATGGTGGCTCCATCTGTGATGCCTTCCTTGCAGAGCCCGAAGTCGGTGATTTTGATGTGGCCATCTTTGTCCAGCATGAGGTTTTCCAGCTGAAAAAAAAGCAGACAGGTTGGAGAAAAGGTTTGGAGCTGAGTGAAGTCAGGAGCATGGGAGCGGGATGCTGCTCCCCAAAAGGCTTTGCTTGACGGCTGGAGTCTTGATCCATTGCCACAAGATGGGGACGAGGGTGACACCTCCCTGCAGGGCAGGTTCAAGCTCTCTTCAAGCTCCCGCCCTCCCTTATGCAACAACATGTGTGAAAACATTGCCAGCCCTGAGCCGAGAGCAGCTCTTTGTCACCCACAGTGAGCGGGAGTGGAGAAAGGTGGCTCGCGTCAACAGAGCACGATGCACTGCTGGCTGAAGGCCCTTGAAGCCCCTCAGGGTAAGTTTTAGGGGAGCTGGGAGTGAATTCACACCCCCAAATGCCAGCCCAGGCAGATTGAAATTGTGCAAGCACTAAGATGGGGCGAAGGCACTGTTTATGGACACTGCTGCTGCTGGGCTGGTACCTTAATATCCCTGTACACCACGTCCCGGGAGTGCAGGTACTCCAGCGCAGAGACTATTTCTGCGCCGTAGAAACGGGCTCGGTCCTCTGTGAAGACACGTTCTCTTGAGAGGTGGAAAAACAGCTTGAGGGAGAGGAAAAAAAACCAAGCAATGGAACAGCTGATCAACAAGCACTTAAAAAAACCCCCAGTGAAACCCAGGTTAATCACTCTCAGCATGCAGCTAATGCAGTCATATGTGTCCTAAGCTCCTCGCCTTGAGCGGTCAAAATATTGATGGTCCCCTCTCCACTCTGCTGGAGGGAGCTGTGGGGAAAATGCTGCCGTGCACTGCCTGCAAGAGGGGCTGTGCCATCGGCTGCGTTCCCCCTCGCAAGGGAAGAGTGCCAGGGTGGAGAAACAAAGCTAGACGCTAGCACAGGGTGGAACGTAACGGAGCCAGTGATGGCTGGAGGTGCTGCGGTGTGCAGCTCCCCAGGTGATGAGGAGCAGGGCCCCGGGGAGCCTAGATCGTTGCTCCATGCATGCAATGGCCTTGCTGCAATATCAAGCATGAGGAAGGGGAGCAACGAGCCAGGAAAGCTCCGACG